ACCCTGGCCGGGGGCCATCAGGGCCTCTTCACAGACTGGGCTCTGCATTTAGCAGCTCCAAGCACATGAGACGTGGAGGTGAAGACAGCCACGTGGACCCACACTTCCCCACAGCTCAGCCCCTAAACCTCAGGGGCCAGCTCCCCCACAGTTCGGCCTCCCAATCCTGGTGGAGACCCCCAATCTCAGTGCCTGCCAGAAATGGGACCCTAGGGGACAAAGGCCACTCTGCACACACTGGTCTCGGGATGTTCCTCGGTCCTCTTTCCTCATTAAAGCAGGCGCTGAGGGAGGAGCAGCCTCCTGTCGGTCCCTACTCTCTGAAGCAGCCCCAGCGCTTCCAGACAGTGCCCTCTGCCCAGCACATGCCCACTTCGTCAGGACCCCTCCTCAGCATCTGCTCCACAGGCCTCCCTAGCTTCGTATCTGGGGCAGGGGCCCTTGAGAGCCTGCAGTGAGCCACCAGCCCCTCCCCTCCAGGGCCAGCTTCGCTCTGAAGTCTCTGGGGCAGGAGGCAGAGTTTCTGGGTCACCATGTACTGGTAAAACTCGGGGAGGCGGTGCACCCCTCAAGCCCTGCCCTCTGTGGGCCGTGGGGACAAGCAGGCGGCCCCCACCACCCTGCGCTGTGACCCACAGCCCTTCGTTTACCTTTCTCATGATCTTCCGGCCGTAGAACATCACCTTGTCCCTCTTGCGGAACCTGTACTGCGGCGTGGCAGGCTGCAGCTGTCCTGGAAGGGAGCGAGGATGCCTGAGGCGCCTAGGCCGCGAAGGCCCTCCCCGAGCACTGCACACAGTGCGGGCCCTCAGCAGACTGAACAGACGCTTGCTCAGACGAGAGGACAGCCTCCTGTCATCGCTAGCACCGGGCTCAGGCTGCGAGCACAGGACACAGCTCCGAGCAGCTCGGCTTCCTCGCCTGGCACCCCAGCCTGAGCCGGGACATCGGTTTCCAACAAAAACCATCACAGGCTTCAGGGCTCCTCCCAGGAGCTCAAACACCATCGCAGACACACTGCTCCCCAAGCCCTCTGCCCCACTCCCAGAGCCGGAACCGATCTGAGATACTCACGGGACTGTTTCACTCTCCTGACCACGAGGAGGATGCTGCCACCGATGAGGACCAGGGCAATGCCTATCACAACCCCGAAGAGCTGGGCGAGAGGTCAGGTGGAGCGCAGGTCAGCACGGCCACTGCGGAGCCCCTACCCACTCAGCCAGGGGAGAAGGACGGGCAGGGGGAGGGGTGCAGTAGGACATGGACCCGTCGGCCCTGCCCAGATGCCCATCACCCAGGAAGCCTGTGAGGTGCTTACCACAGACGACTGCAAGTTCTCCTCCATGAGCTGCGGCCCCCAGGAGTGCAGGGTGGAGCCCAGACAGAAGGCACCCTGGAGCAGAGGCACAGAGGGTCAGGGGGTGAGACGTGGGGCAGCGGGGAGAGAGTGGAGGGGGGACGGGGCCAGAACGAGGCAACATCGGGCCATCACTGGCATCCCGACACACAGCTTGGGGGCTTGGTCAGGGCAGCCAGAACAGAGTGGACGTGAGGAAGAAGTCCGTGGCCCTGAGATGCCCAGAAAGAAGTGTCTGTGGGGAAGGCTGAGGTCCCCTGAGCCCACCTACAGAAAACCCCCTAGAGCAGCCTGCCTTCCACTGCCCGTGGGGCAGGGTCCTTAAGACCCGATGCCTGTGAACACATCTGAGCCTCTGCTTGCAGACATGCAAGATGCCTGCAGGGCCCCGGGAAGCGAAGGCTGTCCCCCAGGGCGCTGCGAGCACCTGGCTGCACGGCCACCTGAGCCTGGAGTCCCAAGAACATCTGCAGTCTGAGAATATAAATGCCAGCTCACACGCCAAGCACACAGGCAGCAGAGGGGGCCTGTATGCTGTGCCCCTCACCCCAGGGGACTTACAGGTGCAGAACAGCAAGTGGGTGGGCAGTTGGGATGTAGGCCAGTCCCCAAGAAGACAAAGAAGAGCAAAGATTCGCAGGGGCCCCTAGCACCTCTCTCCTCTTCTGTTGCCCACAATTCCTCCCCTGCACCCAGGTGAGCACAGATGGCGGGGGACCTTGTGGGTCCTTCCGGGAGATTCCAGTGCCAAGGGCGCAACAGCTTGCCCCCCGTTCTGGAGAGCTGGACTACAACACCGCTGCCCGGCAGAGAGCCCACGGGACGGAAAGCATTCGGAGAAGCATGTCGAATGCGGACTCTGCACCCACAGACTGAACAGGGCCCAGAAGGCTCAGCCCAGGACTGACCTGGGAGGCAGTGAGGGCTGCCCAGCCCAGCAAACACAGGGTCACCTCTGCCAGCTCTGAGGGCTCACTTGGCAAATGTGGCCCAACAAACACGGTGTCGCCTCCGCCAGCCCCCAGGGACCCACCAGTCTGGTTGCAGAAGCTCACCCATGGCCACACCCAATGGAAAAGCTAGAAAAGCCAAGCTCCTCGAAAGCAGGGGTTGTGTGGGTGATTACTGTTGCTTTAACTGATCTAAGGTCTTGGCTTAGGAGGAAAGGCCTTTGGGAAGCAGCTACAGAAAAAAGACATGAGCAGGCCAGTCCCAAGGGGGGGATCGGAAAGGGCACTGTGACATCCAGGAAGAGGCAGGCCTCCCAGTGACCAGCGGCCACATCCAACTGTCGGTACTGGGGAGAGTGCGCTGTTTAGGATGAGGTGCCAGCTTTGACAGGTAGCGGTGAAGGGCCCCAAACCACTTTCACACCAGCCAGCTCTGAAGGGTGCAGGGGTCCAGGGAAAAGAAACGGAGCAGCAGTAAAAGAGCCTGTTCTTGTCCGGGAAGTGTCCCCACACTGGGAACCAGAACAATGTGACCTGTGGCTGCGTCCTGGTTACTTACCTCTGGGCAGGGGTTGGAGTCGTGCTCCATGGCTAAAATCAAAATAGACGGTCAGGGGTGACAAGCAGGCGCAGATGAGCAAACACTCCACCAGCAGTGTTTCCTCCGGTTCCTTTCCAAGTCAATTTTCGTTTTCACTGAAAGGAAACCCTAGTAAAGAGTTCTGCTCTCCCTGAAAAGCAGCCAGCTTACTCAGAGCCTTCTCTCCCTCTGTAAACAGCCCTCATGTGGCTCCTGAGAGCCGGACCATGGCTAAGTCACTGACCCGGCTCCTAGCTGGTCAGGGGAGGGAGGACGGGGCTCCCTGCAGGTCAGGGGAGCTGGTGGGGGGCGGGGGACGGCGAGGAGCGGCCACACCACTCAGGTGGGTGAGGAGGCCGCTGTAAGACAGGCCTTTCTGTGCTTTCCTGACCGGTGCAATCCAATCCTGGCCGTGTGATGGTGTGCCGGTGACAGAGGGCAAGAAACGTGGTGACCACCCAAGATCGCTGCCCAGCCCGGCCCGCAGGATCCCAGGAGCAGCCGTGTCACTGACCAGGGCGCAGAGCCCCCTGACAGCTAGCGGGCTTCCCCCCCTGGCCCGCAGGCCCCTCAGAGCAGGGGTAGCAGCAGGGAGGGCTGTCTCGTCACAATCCTCCCAGAGAAGCACCCCATAAATTGCAGCCTGGGAGGTTGTGCCCCGTTACTGCACGCTCGCTCCCTGCCCAGGTCGGGGCCCTGCGCCCCGCTGCCCACGTGGCGCCTTTGGCTCTGAGACGAGTCTCCGGAGGGACTGCGGGCACCAGTGGACAGGACCCAGCGGGACAGGACCTTGGGGTCAGAATTCTGTGGGTCAAGACGCCGGGGGGGGGGGCCCTGCGGCGCAGGACCCTGGGGGCAGCACCTTGGAGGGCAGCTGGACGCGGCGCATGGCCGCGGAGGCCAACGAGGCGCCGCGGGGTCGGGGGCGGGGTCAGGGTCAGCCGTGCTGGGGTGACTGGGGCGGCGGACGCTGGCGGCGGTAAGTGCCCGGCGGGCACGGATGGGCCGGACAATCAGGACCCGGGGGCAGCGCACTGCGGGGTTCCCCGGGCCAGGGCGGGGGCAAAGCGCGGCCACCCGTCCTTCGACCCGCCCCGGTCGGCGCCCGCGCCCCGACGACGGCGTCCCCGACGTAACACAGCTGTCAGCGCCAGTACCGCCCCCTGACCCCGGATCTCCCCGTGCATTGGCCGAGTCTCCAGCCGGGCCCGCCCCTCGCAGGGCTGAGGCTGTGCACGGGGTGCGGCGGCCACAGCCAATCGGAGCTACTCTTACTGCAAAGTGGGGCCTCACGGCCGTCGGCCGGAAGCGGAGCACAGGCGGCGTCGCGGTCGCGGGCCCAGGTCGCTTAGCTCAGGGCCCGGGGCGAGGGTTGCAGGCCAGGGGGTGCAGGGCAGGGCTCGGGGGGCAGCGCGGGGCCGGTTCGGTGAGCGGAGGGAGGGCACGGCGGCGGGGAGTAGCTGGGCCGGGTCTCTGAGCTGGGGGTGCGTGGGGGGTGCGCGCGGGGCCGGCGGGCTGCAGGCCGGGCTGTCGCAGGCCCTGGTCGGAGCCGCCAGCGCCGCAGGCCGGGTCCGTCCGTCCTGCCGTGAGAGCCGCCCCGAGATGCCCCTAAACCTGAGCACTGCCCGCCCGGGGAGCCGGCGCGCGGACACTCGGATGAGTAGGCCCCGAAATACCGGCCATCTGACGATCCTTCTCCACAGGCGGCGGCATGGGCTTCCTGACCGGAGTGACCCGCGGCCTGGTCCGGGGAGCGGATAGGATGAGCAAGTGGACGAGCAAGCGCGGCCCGCGCACCTTCTACAAGGGCCGGGGCGCCAAGGGCACTGGCGTGCACGCCCCCGGCCGGAAGTTTGTGATGATAAAGGAGATGGTCCCAGAGTTTGTGGTCCCAGATCTGACCGGCTTCAAACTCAAGCCCTACGTGAATTACCGTGTCCCCGCTGGCACAGAAACCCCCCTGACGGCTAAACAGCTCTTTTTGCAAGCGGTTGCCCCTGCTATTGAAAAGGACTTTAAAGAGGGGACATTTGATCCTGAGAATCTGGAAAAGTACGGCTTCGAGCCCACACAGGAGGGCAAGCTCTTCCAGCTGTATCCCAAGAATTTCCCGCGGTAGAGAAGGCTCTAGGCAGTGGCCATTGCTTTGCCTGTGAGCAGGAGAACTGCCCGGACCATTAATCCACAGGGAGACATTTCCCTCATTCCGTGTATATTAAAGACCTTTATGTAAGATAAAGCTGCTCTGTGTAGTGTTTGTTTTGGCATCAGACTGTTGTGAAGTGAAAGTATGTGACAACGGGTTAGGGGTACGGACCTAGGCACGGCTCTAGTCGCTTTGAGACTCTTTGGAGGAAGACATCTTCCCAAACAAAAGGTTTTGGCAGTATACCAACAGCAAGAACACATCACTTAGCTTACACTGCAGGTTGAGATAACCCTGGTTTATTCGTCCCCAAATTCTTCAACCCAAGGAACAATCAATGAACATATTTTTTATGGGTTCCAAAGCAGCTGTTTAATTTTAAAGTCAAGTGAAAGTAACTGCCCCCCTTGGGGTGCACCTAGAGGAGATGTGGCGGCACAAGAAGTCAGTGTCAAAAGTAGAATGCCTCTTGCAATCGTCTCTTTCCAATTTTAATGCTTGGTCCCTCGGATCTTCTAAATCCTGTTGAATATTTATTAACCAACTCTTAAGTTAAACATCTTCAAATCAACCTCTAAAGGAAGGTCCAGCATTTTTTGGTTGAAATAAATGGGCCATGAGCTGGAGTTGATCATTTTTATTACACAGAATCTAACCCATATTGGCATGTTGCTTTGTATGATCAGAAAATAAGGGAAGAAGTGTAAGCTTTCGGCTTCCAAATGCCTTTGTCACAACAGATGGTCTGACAAACAGTTTAAAAAAAAACTCATTGCTGTTGAGGTCAATTCTGACTCATAGCAACCCTATAGGACAGAGCAGAAATGTCCCATTCCAAGGAGGGGCTGGTGGATTCAAACTGCCGACCTTTTTGGTTAGCAATGGAACACTTAACCACTTGCCACCAGGGCCCCAGACAAACTCACTGAGGGCCTGTAATTCAACCAGCTTTCCTCTTGGCCAACCAGGAGGCATGGGCTGTACTGCCAGCGCGTGCTCAGTCACCACATGGCTAGGATTTGGGATCTAATCAGCTTGTTAAGGCCACAGTGAGGAAGTGTGATTAATTTGCCACGTACATGTCACATTCCCCACTCGTCAGTCAGTTTGTCGTACTGTGGGGGCTGGTGTGTTGCTGTGATGCTGAAAGCTATGCCACCAGTATTCAAATATCAGCAGATTGTGAGGGATGGGTGGGGTGGTGGGAGGAACTAAATAGACAATAGATAAGTGGTAACTTTGGTGAAGGGTAAGACAGTACACAGTACTGGGGAAGCCAGCACAACTCGTACAAGGAAAGGTCATGGAAGCACCATAGATACATCCAAACTCCCTGAGGGACTGAATTGCTGGGTAGAGGGCTGTGGGGACCATGGTCTTGGGGAACATCTAGCTCAATTGGCAGAGCACAGTTTATAAAGACAAATGTCCTACATTCTACCTTGGTGAGTAGCGTCTGGGGTCTTAAAAGCCTGTGAGCAGCCATCTAAGATACTCCACTGGT